AAACCAAGGAAAAAAGAGGAAGGAGAGAAGGAAGGAGAGAAAAGGAAAAAAGGAAGGAAGAAGGAAGGAAGGAAGGAAATGAAAGAAAGTGAAAGGAAGGAAAAGAGAAAAAAGAAAGGGAAGAAGGAAGGAAGGAAAAAAAGAGGGAAAGCAAGGAAGGAAAAGAAAGAGGAAAGGTAAGGAATGAGAGAAAAGAAAAAAAGAAAGAAAAAGGAAGTGAAGAGGAAGAAAGGAAAAGGCCCCAGGAAAGAAAGAAAAGTGGCAAGTCTTATTCATTCTAGGGCTGCCCTTGCTAATTTTGTAGAAGACAGCAAAGATCCCCGAAATAGATTCAGTGCAGGAAGGAGGAATGTTGCTATCATTGGCCTGCAACTCCTATCATCCCTCACTTCAAGGTTTTTCCTCCTAGGGAATTGCAGTTCGGAGCACTTGTGATTGGTGGGATGGGGCCCTTTGGGGTGCCTATGTCTTTCAGAATCATGCAGCCTTTTCCGATTTAGTTGAACTGCAACTCCCAGCATCCCTGACCAATTGGCTATGCTGGCTCAATCTGTTTGGAACCACATCTGGAGGGCTGCATGCTTGCCACCCTTATTTTAAGGCAATAATCCTATGCAGATTTACAGGGACTGAATTCTGCTACAGTGGAGGACCAATGTGAGGCAATGGTTTGAGTGCTGGCCTAGGACTCCAGGGGACTAGGGTTCGAATCCCCCCTTGGCCACGGAAACCCACTATAAATGCCACAAATGTGAATGTGAACCAGAGTGGAAAGTGGGGCCTTTTTCATGCCAGTTCTAAAAGCTATGGATTGCAAAGAGCTGTCTTACAAGTAGTCTTAAAAAATTTAACAAAACCTCCCAAAATCAATATGGCCAGGGCTTTCTAGTTGCAAAAGTTGTGAACCCACAAGAGAAATATTGAGATACGTACCAATAAAATATAAAATCATTCATTTTGTATCTGAGAACGTCGACCGATCTCAACAACATTGGCTGCATCTGCACTGCAGAAATAATGCAGTTTGATAGAGTTTTAAAACTGTCATGGCTCCATCCCACGGAGTCGTGGGATTTGTAGTTTGTTGTGGCACCAGAGCTCTCAAAACTACAAGTCTCAGGATGCCATAGCATTGAACCAGGGCAGTTAAAGTGGTGTCAGCCTGGATTATTTCTCCAATAAATCTAGCTAGGCAGGGCCTTATGAACCACAGCTGCTTCGTTTCCAAAACTCTTTGCAAGAAATCAGTTGAAACAGCTGGCAAAAGGGAGCCATTCTGAAATGAGGTGACTGGTGGCTTTCTGCTGTTTGTACACTAGATGGCAGTATGCCTTTGGGATCACAGTTTTGCCATTGGGCCATTGAGAGATGTACTGTCAGCTGGTTTAA